AAAAAAAAAAAAAAACATCCTAAAACCTGAGCCCCAAACCATGAGCCCACGGCCCCAAACCCCAAAACGACAGCTGGCAAGAGGTGGCCTACGATGATCTCAGGCCTGCACGCTAGTCGGGTTTGGGGCTTTTCACAGGTTCCATATTGGTTTGATCCAGGCTAGTTTCACGGTTTAGGACACTAGGGCCCAGATTTTGGGGTTTGGGTTTGGGGCGGCAGGTTTGTGGGTTATTTGGAGCTTAATACTCTGAGTTTGGGGTTCAGGGTTTCCGATTGAAGGTTGAGTGTTTGTGGTTTATGGCTGTGGGCTTGCGGGCTGAGGGTCCATGATTTAGGTTTCATGGTTTAGGGTTGAGCCCGCGCTGGGATCACGTGTGTGGAGTGTTATAGTATCAGAGCGGAGTACTGAGGCTTCGATGAACTTGACATGGAATGGGAAGAATTATCGAAGAGAGAGTATGCAGGGAGCCTGCAGATGCACGGAAACTTTTAACATTTTTAGATATGTACGTCGATATATACACATACGCAAAGACATATGCACAGTATCGGGTCAAAGGTTTGCTAGATTTGGCCAGGGTTGTAACTGGTTGGGGATAAAGGTGTGAGGTTGGTAGCAGTACGATGTCAGACGGATCGGCACTCGGGCAAGCAGGGTGTTAGATTTTTGTCATGCCACATCAGACAGCCTTTCAGGAATCAGAACCTTTACTGCTAAACCTCCCAAACCCTGCTCACCCACCATAAACTCCAAGTATTGTGCCCGTGAGTCCCAGTAGACGCCATTTCACATCATGCCCCCGCCTGCCATCCCCCTAGGTTTTGCTGGGACTTGGCTTAATCTGCGTTTACAATCACTGAATAAGTTTAACGAGGAGCGGACCCAGGGGGAGTAGTATAGGGCTGGGGTGGCTCGGGATCCTATGATAATACTATTGCTAGTACTTTTGCTAGCGCCAGTTCTCGTGCTTGCACGTTTTGCTGCACAAGTGCTATGCTTCGTCGCATTACTACTACAGCCACTACTATTCTAAGCACTACTACAATTTACGATTTCATGGCGCTGCTGACTTTCTGCAGAGGACTCGCTCTGACCTTCGCGTGTGGAACTCAGGGTCTTGGGATTGGGTTTCTGCTCGCTTAATAGGGAATGCGGTAAATGGGTTGTATGGACTACTTTACAGGGCTGCTGTAGAGACCCATTCCCTCACTCCTCCCTAAGTACCAGTAAATTTCAGGTTCAGAATTTCGTGGCATCTCTTGCGCCGTGGAGAGGTTGCCATCAGAGCTCTAAAGCTTGTACCCTCAGGTAAACATTTTAGTCCCCCTTAAGTAGATAGAATATGGCTTTGGGTATATTGTACTAAGATCCCCATATACCCCATATTCTATCTACTTGAGGGGGACTAGGTTATGAAGGTTGTAGAACCCAATCTGGGTAACCCTAAACCCCAAGCCCTAGGTGGCACCTGCAAGTTGGGCCTTTGATGGTAAGCTACCTCGAAAGTTCTCAATCACTTGGTGTTGGGTTAGGGTTGGAGGTTCCTTGGGGAAAGCCCGAAGCCTTAAACTGCAAAGCTTAACTCTCCCCCCAGAGGGGGGCTGCGTCGAATGCCATCAGAACCTCTTTTGTCATCTCTGCACCGCACACCAACACTTTAAGTTCACATCGAACCAGAACAGCCAAACGGTGAGAGGCAATTTGTTTGTGGATCAACTTTTTATCATAAAATGCCAAGTGGAAGCTGCTTCTACAAGCCAAGCCTGAACAGGGACCTCTACAGACTACTGTCCCCTTCATGGGGCTGCTTGGCGTTCCATGTCGGTGTCCAGCATACCTCCGTATTGAGGTCTTTTTCTGGATTGAAGTGTGAAGCAGCAGCCACTCCTTTCCTTCAATCCACCATGTTCCTACCCCGAAAGTCAAACCACAGAAAGCCTAACCCTCAATCCTCCAAACCGCAATCCCTAAACCCGAAACCCTAAACCCCAAACCCTGAAGCCTACACCCTAAACCCTAAACCCTAAACCCCAAACCCTAAACCCTAAACCCCAAACCCTAAACCTTAAACCCTGGTCCTTAAGCCCAAAAAGGAGCCCTGAAGCTCAACGCCCCCCTGCCTGGCCCAAGGAAGCGGACCTTGAAATCGAGATCGTGCCCCAAACTTGAGTAGTGTTTTATTTGGGGATACTATGGGGTTAGGATTTAGGGGTTTAGGGTTCAGGGTTTAGGGTTTAGGGTTTAGGGCCCTATAAGTGAGCTCCACAACAGTAGGCTTAAGGTTGATAGTTCAGTTCTCTGGGTAGGCCCCTGGGGTATTTAATATTTTCCCTAATG